CCCAAGCAGATTATATCTTTTGTTCTCAAGCCCAAAACGGGCTGCTGTAAGTTCTCATTAAATTAAATATCTCAATTTTAAACTTTATTACGGTCTCAAAAAAAAAAAAAAAAAAAAGAAAGAAAGAAAAAAAAAAGGAAAGAAAAAAAAATGCCTGGTTCTGACACTGACACCTCCGCAGTAACACAAAGTCAGCCTTTGATAGTTTCTGAAGTTATTCCCATTAATTTTAAAATTACTGAGAATAAACTTTGTGGCTCCAATTATCTTGAATGGAGTAAAACTATCAAACGTTATTTAAGGAGCATTGATAAATATACCCACTTACTTGATGACCCGCCCAAGGAGGAGGTTGATAAAGCTGCTAATACTGCCTGGCTTCGTGACGATTCTAGATTATTTATCCAGATTCAAAACTCAATGGAGAATGAGGTAATGGGGTACGTTAGTCATTGCGATACTGTGAAAGAATTGTTTGATTATTTGGAATTTATGTATTCTGGAAAAGGTAATCTTAACCACATCTATGAGGTGTGCAAGGCCTTTTACAGAGCAGAAATGAAAGATAAGCCTCTCACGGCTTATTTTATGGATTTCAAGAAAACCTATGAAGAGCTGAATACATTAATGCCATTTAGTCCTGATATCAAAGTGCAGCAGAAACAAAGAGAACAAATGGCAGTGATGAGTTTTTTAGCTGGTCTAACATCTGAATTTGAAACAGCCAAATCACATATCTTATCTAGTGACGAGGTCTCTTCTCTTCAAGAGTCTTTCACTAGAGTGCTTCGCACCGATACTTCATCCACACCATTAGCACCTCAGTCAAGCAATGCATTTGTAGGGCAAGTTCCGACATTCACCAGAGGAGGTGAGAAATATCCACGTACTGGTCCATCTGGGAAAGGCATAGTATGCAACTATTGTAAAAAGCCTGGACACTTGATCAAAGATTGTAGAAAATTAAAATTCAAAAATCAAGGAAATCAGGTTGCTCACATTGCTTCCGTTACACAGTCTTCTGATGGATCAATAAGTATGTCTTCTGAGGAATACGCCAAATTTCTTTGCTACCAAGAGACTCTAAAGCATTCATCTACTCCTATCTCAGCTGTCGCTAATTCAGGTAATCCAAACACATGTCTTGTGTCTTCATCCTCAAAATGGGTTATCGATTCAGGGGCAACAGATCATATGACAGGTAATCCTAGTCTTTTTTCCTCATTCCACACACCTCTTCATACTTCTAGTGTTACTTTGGCTGACGGATCTACGTCACCAGTTCTTGGAACGGGTACAATTGTCCCAACACCTACCTTACCTTTGTCACCCGTCCTAAGTCTTCCAAACTTTGCCTTTAATTTGATTTCGATCAGCAAAATCACACGTAATCTTAATTGCTCTGTAACTTTTTTTCCTGGATATTGTGTTTTTCAGGATCTGGTGACGAATCGGGTTATTGGTAAAGGATATGAGTCGGCTGGTCTCTATCTCTCGGATACATCCTTACCCAAATCCATCTCTTGTCTTGGAGTTGGAACTGTGTTAGAGGCTCATTATCGACTAGGCCATCCCTCTCTCCCGTTGTTAAAGAAACTTCATCCTCAATTTAATAAGGTGTCATCTTTACAGTGTGATTCATGTCAATTTGCAAAACATCATCGAACTAGTTTAAGTCCCAGAGTCAATAAACGAGCACATGCTCCTTTTGAACTTGTTCATTCTGATGTTTGGGGCGCTTGCCCTGTTGTGTCCAAAACTGGTGTTAGGTACTTTGTTACCTTTGTTGATGATTATTCTCGTATGACTTGGATATATTTCATGAAACGTCGTTCTGAGTTATTTTCTCATTTCTGTGCCTTTTGTGCTGAAATTAAAACTCAATTTAATGTACCTGTTCGTATTTTAAGGGGAGACAATGCTCAAGAATATTTGTCTTCCTCATTTAAGTTGTATATGGCTCAACATGGCATCATTCATCAAACTTCATGTGTAGACACACCTCCACAAAATGGAGTTGCTGAACGAAAGAACAAACATCTATTAGAAACTGCGCGGGCTCTTCTATTCCAAATGAATGTGCCTAAACAGTTTTGGGCAGATGCTGTGTCTACCGCATGTTTTTTGATCAATAGAATGCCATCTACTGTTTTGGATGGTAAAACTCCATATCAGTGCCTATTTCCAAATAATGAAAATTTTCCTATCCCTCCTAAAATATTTGGTTGCACTTGTTTTGTACGAGATGTTAATCCCCATTTAACAAAGTTAGATCCCAAGTCATTAAAGTGCATTTTCTTAGGCTACTCTCGAGTTCAAAAGGGTTACAGATGTTTTTGTCCAAGTACGGGTCGATATCTTGTTTCAATTGATGTCTCCTTTTATGAAAATACACCGTTTTCATCAACAGAGACAAATATTTGTAAGGAGAATGATGATATACTCATTTACACAGTCACTATACCCGAGTCCACTGCTTCAGCCGTTGTTCCACATGTTACTTTTCCTGAGCCTAGGCCCCCGGTACACTTGGTCTACACCCGTCGAAACAAAGTACAAGATCACCCTCCACCTGTGGTTACTTATCCTGATACTGATCCGGTCTCGATCTCATGTCCTGAACCAATACTTGCATCTCCAGATCCTGCCTCTACATCAGATCTTGACCTCCCTATCGCACTACGTTAAGGTACACGGTCTTGTACTCATCCTATTTCTTCATTTGTGTCGTATAATCAGTTATCATCTACCTCATGTTCTTTTATTGCTTCCATTGATTCTATTTCTGTTCCCAAATCTGTTAAAGACGCTTTGTCTCATCCTGAATGGCGTCATGCCATGGTAGAGGAAATGAATGCTTTGGATCTTAATGGTACTTGGGATTTGGTAGACTTGCCCACAGGGAAGAAATCTATTGGATGTAAGTGGGTCTTTGCTGTAAAGGTTAACCCTGACGGATCCGTTGCTCGTTTAAAAGCCCGATTAGTAGCGAAGGGTTATGCTCAAACCTATGGTGTTGATTATTCTGACACTTTTTCTCCTGTTGCTAAATTAACATCTGTCAGGTTACTTATTTCTCTCGCTGCAACTAATGGTTGGCACTTACATCAGTTGGACATTAAAAATGCATTCTTGGACGGTGATCTTCAAGAGGAAGTTTATATTGAGCAACCTCCAGGGTTTGTTGCTCAGGGGGAGTATGGAAAAGTGTGTCGACTTCGCAAGTCTCTTTATGGTTTGAAACAGAGTCCCCGTGCATGGTTCGGGAAATTCAGTCAATCAATTGAACGATTTGGAATGATAAAGGGCAAATCAGATCACTCTGTATTTTACAGACGAACAAAAGCTGGTATCACATTGCTTGTGGTGTATGTCGATGATATTGTGATTACAGGGAGTGATAATGCAGGTATTTTGGCTCTTAAGAATTTTCTTCATAGTCAATTCCAGACGAAAGATTTGGGCTCATTGAAATACTTCTTGGGGATTGAGGTTATACGGAGCAAGAAAGGCATATTTCTATCTCAACGTAAATATGTGCTTGACTTGCTAACTGAAACAGGGAAACTGGGGGCAAAACCGAGCAATACTCCCATGATTCCCAATGTGCAGCTCACTCATGAAGGCGTACCATTCGAAGATCCAGAAAGATATAGAAGGTTGGTTGGAAAGCTTAATTATCTCGCAGTTACCCGTCCAGATATTGCATACTCAGTGAGTGTAGTAAGTCAATATATGTCATCTCCGACAGTTGATCATTGGAATGCTGTAGAGCATATATTATGTTACTTGAAGGGGACACCAGGACGAGGTATTGTTTATCAAAATCATAATCACATGCGCATAGAATGCTTTGCAGATGCTGATTGGGCTGGATCTAAAGATGATAGAAGATCCACATCTGGCTATTGCGTCTTTGTTGGTGGTAATCTCGTCTCTTGGAAAAGTAAGAAGCAGAATGTGGTTTCTCGTTCGAGTGCTGAATCAGAATATCGGGCTATGGCACAATCGGCATGTGAGATAATCTGGATAAACCATCTATTGAGTGAAATTGGACTGAAGACACCAATGCCTGCTAAACTCTGGTGTGATAATCAGGCTGCTATACACATTGCCAACAACCCAGTGTTTCATGAGAGAACAAAACATATTGAGGTCGATTGTCACTTTGTTCGAGAAAAGATACAACAAGGATTGATCTCTACAGGATATGTGAAGACGGGAGAGCAACTTGGAGACTTGTTCACTAAAGCACTAAATGGAATTCGTGTTGGTTATTTATGTAACAAGTTGGGCATGATAAATATCTATGCTCCAACTTGAGGGGGAGTGTGAAAGACATTGGAATATGCTGTATAATATGCTTTAGAATATTCTTCTATCTTTAGAATATGCTTTAGAATATTTTAGGAATATACTCTAAGATATTATTATTGTATAGCATCTTATAGGAATATTCTATCTTTGTAATGTATATATATAGGGACTTATCCCTCCAATGAAATACACAGAAAATTCTTCCATTCTCATTACTATTATATATTCTGATAACACGATGAATCAGAAGTTGAGATCGTCATGGCTGGAACGAGAGAAGCTCTGATACCATATTATAGTTTAGACAAGAGATAGAATTGGTAAATGAAAACAAACTTGTATTAAATCAGTTGTACAGAGTGTTTATATAGTTGACTAGTTATAACCGACTAACAACCATTAGTACAGACTCTAACCACAATACAACTGGAAAGTAATGTACATATAACTTCGTATACTATTCCTAACAGAAATACATGGAAAACATATACAATGACGTTGACTTTTTCGGGCGGAATGTAAGTCTTGAATTCTTGATATGGTGTAGTATATTAAGCTTAAATGAGCAGCTTTATTTTGTTAAACCACCATATGAACATATAATGGAATTCAAATGTAATATGGATTTTTTATTAGAATTATCTACTTGTTATGATTATGAGACGGAAACATTTTGTTTGCAGCTCTTTATGATCATTTCGATCATGATGAGTGTATTTTTCCGGTCAACAATGCATCATGATACACTTGAAGATGGAGCTATCTATCTCGGTGCACTCTACTTTGCAATCCTTATGGTTCTTTTCAATGGCTTTTTGGAGGTTCCCATGATCATAGCCAAGCTCCCGGTCCTTTATAAGCACAGAGATCTTCGGCTATACCCATGTTGGGCATTTACCTTTCCCTCTTGGATTTTGAGTATCCCTACCTCACTTGCTGAATCTGTGATATGGGTTGCAGCCACATATTATACAGTTGGCTTTGATCCTCAAATAATAAGGTAAGCTTTATGTTTAATACGTGTTTCCATTTTTTACCAATGTGTATCGGGCATTAGGTGGTTTAAAAGTATTGATGTAAGTACTTTATTGTGTTGAACTTCAGATGCCTGAAGCAATTTCTTGTGTATTTTTCATTGCACCAAATGTCAATAGGCCTTTTTCGTGTGATGGCATCATTAGGCCGAAATATGGTAGTTGCTAACACGTTTGGATCATTTGCAATGTTGGTAGTCATGGCACTTGGTGGGTTTGTTCTGTCCAGAGGTAATAAAGCTTCACCGCTATTACTTTTCAGCATCAGCCTTGTTAAGAGTCCCACATATAAATAGTAAAGAGAGACGTATACGTTCATTAGGATTCATAAAGATTTGAGTTAGACTAGCTAATTGGTGTGTTCAATCACGTAGTGTGGTTCATTATGAGCCTCAGCCTAGGTGCTGGACCTCTGTTGGTGCCTTGGAGGCCACCTATGTTTTGCTTTTCCGAATTGACCCTGCCTAATCACATATATGTTCCGTCATAGCATTATTTAGAACATTGCATTGAAGCTTTCCATGATCTTTCATATTGTGGCAGATAGCATCCCCAGTTGGTGGATATGGGGTTACTGGGTTTCTCCTTTGATGTATGCTCAAAATGCAGCTTCGGTGAATGAGTTTCGAGGCCATTCTTGGGATAAGGTATCCTTCTGCTCTCAGCCTTTTACCACTCCGGTGATAATTGTCATGTCTCTAGCAATGTACTGAACACCTTGAATCTTTCCTGATAGTTTATGAAGCCTTTCTTAAAATTGAACAAACTGAGTTTAGGGGTTGCTGGGTAATAATTTGGTTGAGGTTACACAATTATAATGCACATGGACCACACCAAACAAAAAGATGAAATCCAATCGGTTGACTAGTTTGAGACTTTGTTGTGTTTATGTATAATAATTTGATGTGAGACTCTTAAAATATACTCCGTACCTTATATCTATCTATCTATCTATCTATCTATCTATCTATCTATCTGGTAGAATGTTGGGGGCTCTGCTTTGCCATTGGGAAAGGTGTTAATGAAGGTCCGCAGCTTATTTTCAGAAGATTACTGGTATTGGATTGGAGTTGGTGCCTTGCTAGGATATACAGTCTTGTTCAACATTCTCTTCACAATATTTCTGACTTACCTTAACCGTAAGTTTCATCCCATTTACTTATACTTGACAAGAGTCCCACATAGAAACATTAAAGACAAATATGTAGGTTGGATTAGCTAATGTATCGAACTCAGAATCCAATAGAATGTGGTTTGATGACTTTCTACAGCGATTGGGAGCCAACAAACAGTTGCTCCTAAGAGGAAGCTAAGAATTTGCCAAGAAAATGAATCCAGTAGCGTCATTGAGCTCTCAGAGTATTTGCAGCACTCACACTCCTATACAGGTTTGTTACAATCATTTGATCTGTATAGCTGATATTCTCCCATTAAACGTGATTGGCATATTAGCAGGAAAGGACGTGAAGAACGGCATGGTTCTTCCATTTCAGAGTCTTTCCATGTCTTTCAGTAACATCAACTACTACGTGGATATCCCTCTGGTAAATTAGAACCGCATGCCCCTGTACCATACCGGTGAAAAAGTAATAATGTTACAATAATTCTGGAGTGTTTTGCCTATTATTACCGTTATTGTTATTACTATGACATTTCAGGAACTTAAGAGGGATGGGGTAGTGGACGATCGACTGCAGTTATTGGTGAACGTTAGTGGGGCATTCCGTCCCGGGGTGCTTACTGCTTTAGTTGGGGTTAGTGGTGCTGGAAAAACTACACTGATGGATGTTTTAGCGGGTAGGAAAACTGGTGGGCATATTGAAGGTAATATATACATTTCGGGTCATCCCAAGAAGCAAGAAACTTTTGCAAGAGTCTCCGGTTACTGCGAGCAGAATGATGTTCATTCCCCATGCTTAACTGTCAATGAGTCCATACTTTTTTCTGCTTGGCTCCGTCTATCCTCTCAAATTGATTTGAAAACACAAAAGGTATATAGTAAAATAAGAACATCTACGTTTCCTTTATGATTCTTCAGTTTCTCTTGATAAGTATTTACATTGAACACATGAATAAATATGTTTTTTCGTACTGAAAATATAGCATTTTTTCTGTTTTGGTCCCTGTGTTTTTTGTCATTCATCCTTGTAGTTTACGTTATTGTGTTTTAGCCCATCATCAATATCTATTAAAAATTTTACCGTTCAGGCGACAATTATGGGAGTTAGGGAAACTCATCATCCTCACTTTCAATGTTTATTCCTCTATGACTCTCTGGAAATAAAATATGACAAGCATTTAAAAAAAGTTGACGTGAAAAATTTGTCTGGACTGAGTTGTGTCAGTTTTATTTTAAACGGAGGTTGATGTAGAGGTACTAAAAAGAAAATGGCAATACGATGTAAATTACACAGATAATTAACAAAAAAAATTATTTCGCATGGACACAAAACATATTGTTAAGACACGGGGTTCCATCCTAAAAGGTCAACCTGATAGGAGGAGTAGCCCATGTGTTAGTATAGCACTTTGTTCATCCAAACGTTTCCGGTGTGGGACATTTAACACCCCTCCTCAGTAGATCGTGCAATCGTTCATTTTTTTTCATTGGTCCGTTTTTTTTTTTCATTCGGCCGTTTTTTTATAATCGTGTCATCATTTTTCATAAGGGGCCCCACACCATGGATCGATTTGGCTCTGATACCATGTTAAGACACGGGGTTCCATCTTAAAAGGTCAACCTGATAGGAGGAGTAACCCATGTGTTAATATAGCACTTTGTTTATCCAAGCGTTTCCAGTGTGGGACATTTAACACATATTTAAGGGCTTAAGGCTTGAAAGTATATAGTAAAACATATACTACGTATAAGACTGAGTTCAACTATGCAATTGGATGGATTCGACTGATGAAGCATGTGTTTGACCCATGCATTATTAAATCTCAGTTTCTACATAGATTCAACTCGCTAACACCCTCTTTTTTACAGGCTTTTGTGGAAGAGGTTATGGAGTTGGTTGAATTGACTCCGTTAGGGGGGGCGTTAGTTGGCCTTCCGGGGGTTGATGGGCTGTCAACTGAGCAAAGAAAACGCTTGACAATTGCTATCGAACTTGTTGCCAACCCTTCCATAGTTTTCATGGATGAACCTACCTCAGGACTCGACGCAAGAGCTGCTGCTATTGTGATGAGAACAGTTAGGAATATTGTTGACACTGGAAGGACCATTGTTTGCACAATTCATCAACCCAGCATAGATATCTTTGAAGCATTTGATGAGGTTCTGAAATTAACAAGGTCCAATTAATAATAGTATATAGTATTACATCCGTCCCGACTTAAGCTTCTCATTGAAAAATGGTACAGTTGTTTAGACTATAATTAAATAAAGTAATTTGTGTATATTTTTAGAAGTAATATTGATGGGTATATAACATAATGAGGTCATTGATGATAACTGTGATGTTATAGGTGTATTATTTTTAATATGTGATGATTAATTAGTCATTTAAGAGTGCTAGCTCATTTTCATTTTCATTTTTCATTTACCCCAGTGCCGCAAAGGCTCCCACCTACGGTGGGGTAAGGGGGGGGTCGGATGTATGCAGTCTTACCCCTGTACTAAAGCATAGAGAGACTGTTTCCGGATGACCCATAGTGAAAATCGCGACCAAAATTGCATGGACTGTCTGTTGCTTCATAACAAAGAAGCGCAGACAGTTTAGTGAGCCATTTTGCTTTATTCCATCATATTCTCAAGCCAAAAAATAATGAATCTTTGATTCCACTGCAGATGATGGAAAAATTTAAAAGTGCTAACTATTCCCGTAAAATAGAAATGAAAATCTTTAGCTGGGACGTCAAAAAAGAAGTGAGAACTTAAATTGGGACGGATAGTTTATTAGCCAAGTCTTAGATTAAATGACGTTTGAACGCCTTTATTTCTTCTATATCTTAGCTTTTGCTTATGAAACGAGGTGGGGAGCTCATCTATGGTGGTCCATTGGGAACCGAGTCACAGAAACTTATTCAGTATTTCGAGGTAAAAGTCATAATCTGATAGAACGCGTATTATTGACATGGTAAGCATTGCTTTCCATGGAATAAATAGAAAGAGCTTGAGTGCCTCATTAGAGCAAAGAAACAATATCCCACTGTTAGGAATATACTACTCCCTCTGTCCCGCTAAGATTGTCTCATTTTACCTTTTCGGGAAGTCCCACTAAGATTGTCCCATACCAAATTTGGTAAAGTTTGTGTGGCTCTAAATCATTCTTACTTTATTCTTACTTTATCAATTTAATATCAACTACACAAACCCACTTTTCTTAATAATCGTGCCCCCTTCTCTTGTCCCAATCTTAGTGGGACGGAGGTAGTAGTAAAGTGAGCTGGTAGAGTTAGTTAGACTAGTCAACTGTATTTGGTTATGATTTGTGTATAAATACCCATGTACTCTTCTCTCTAATAATAAGAAATAATTATGTTACAATCACGGTTCTGATTGTTAACATTCTCTAGAGAGTGAGTAAGTGAGTTTATTTTCAATGGATTCAGTTCTTGGGTGGGAGGCAGGACTTAAGCCCCTTTTGGAATTCAGAAAATCGAAGGAAAGTATATGAAAAGGAAATCAGTGATAATTTGGATGGAAGAACATTTGCTGAATAATAAAAACATGGCTCCTAGCCTCCTACTCATGTTATTTTTGTATCTAAATTTTTAAAAGTTCATATCAAATATGATTTTTCTTTGTACTTTCCACGGTGAAGCCAAAATAAAGTGTTCCCACTGCCATTTCCTGAGTTTCAAATGTAGCCTTAGATATCAGGGAGAGTGAGTTTATTTCCCAAGAAAAACAATGGAACAGCACTCTCTTACTCTCAGGCCCCTTTTCATTGGTTATTTCAAAGCTTTTGCTTATTGAAAAGCTTATAGCTCATGGTGATGTTTAATTAGGCAATTGAGGGGGTTCCTAAAATCCGAGCTGGATACAACCCTGCAGCTTGGGTTCTTGAGGTCACGTCTCCTGCAGAGGAAAGCCGTCTTGATTTAGACTTTGCCCAAGTTTATCGTAAATCATATCTGTTTCAGTATGTTCCTGGTTTCCTCCTATCTTATCTTCTAATAATCCCACCCAAGTCCCAACTATACCCCCTACCCCAAATCGACCCCTCCTAGGCACTTGCCCTTGACTGGGGTGTAGTGCTTTTTGAAACACTGCTTCTCTCAATTTTCTTCTTATGCAGAATCTGTATTTTCAGGGAAAATAAGGATATGGTGGAGAGATTAAGCAAACCAAATGCAGATTCACTGGAATTAAATTTCCCAAGAAAGTATTCCCAAACACTTTCTGGTCAGTTTTGGGCATGTCTTTGGAAGCTGAACTTGTCTTACTGGCGAAACCCACAGTACACTGCCGTGCGCTTCTTCTACACAGTCATCATCTCGTTGATGTTTGGATCTATATGCTGGAAATTTGGCTCCAAAAGGTTCCAGTAGCTCAAAATTAATGTTTTAGTGGCTGTTTGGTAATCAGTTTTTACTCAGACACAATTTCAACCATCTTCACACTTACCAAAGGAGCTCTTATATGATTATTTACACTTATTTTATTTAATACCCCCCCCATATTCACAGGGATACTCAACAAGATATACTGAATGCCATGGGATCAATGTATGCAGCCGTTCTTTTCATTGGAATAACAAACGCCTCTTCGGTTCAACCTGTGGTTTACACTGAAAGATTCGTTTCCTATCGGGAAAGAGCAGCAGGGATGTATTCTGCTCTACCGTTTGCTTTTGCACAGGCACACCCTCCTATCCAACCTGCTTTAAGATTTTTGAGGGATGTGACTCGACTTAGCTAAAAGCTTAAGACTAGTTTGGATGAAACATTCATTATTGGGTTAATTACATCTACATCCCCTCAGGTTTGCTCAAATGACCAAACAAGTCTCAAGATTCCAGAAAGCTACCAATAAGCTCTTTCCCTGGTCAGATTTTCCGCTAACTACTCAGAAACATGATATGATATAACTATGTTAGTCGGAATTGAGACTTAGGACTGAAGTGTCCTCAAATATTTAGTCCAACATTCTTTTTGAAGGTGTAATTATCCTAGACAAGAAATTGGGTTAAAACAACAAATTTAGTCATTATTAGATTCTATGATTTTATGGTGATGAAAGGGTCATTTGTGAAACTCTAACTGGTAAAGGGACTTATGATAATTTTCAGAAACCTTGAGGATCATTTGGTACTTGAGTCAGTTAAGTATTTTAAACAAATCTGTGGAGGTAGATGTGGTTAACAGTTAACTCTTTCTTCATTTTTTTCTTTTAGTGCATGATTATTATATTTCATCAAAGATATTCTCGCATTGCTTTTCAGGTTACAGTTGAGTTCCCTTATGTGTTCATACAAACACTCATCTACAGCTCTATATTTTACTCCATGGCATCTTTCGAGTGGAGTTCTTGGAAGTTTTTTTGGTACATATGTTTCATGATCCTCACCTTACTATACTTCACTTTGTTTGGGATGATGACTACTGCTGTCACTCCAAACCACAACATTGCTGCGATCGTTGCTGCACCGTTCTATATGATGTGGAACCTCTTCAGCGGGTTCATGATTTCTCGCATGGTAGTATGCTTTTGATCTAACAGTGCCGTCTTAAGACAATGTGCCCGTTTTTCTTTTGGTTTATCAGCCAAAATTTGAACTGAAGGCTAACATATTTGAGTGCATTAGCTCAAGCTGAATTGCCTGATATTAAGAAAAAGTTGTGTGGAATTTACTTTTTTGGTAGAGATGAAGATAAATGGCCCTTATACCCTCATATTTTAGTTTTTAGACCATTAGGTCTAGAAGAACAAATTACTGTTTTTTTAGAAAACTAACCAAATGAAAGGTTTCCACATTTGGTTCCATGACTATTAGTTCCTTAGTCCTTGCCAACTTTGATGCTCAATTTTTTTCCACTTTATTTTTGGTCCTTCCAAGTTCTGAGGATCAGTTATCTCAGTATCTGGCCAACTTCATACAATTTCCGGTTTGACTTTTGCCGGATAGGTGACTGAAAGGGATACAAAAGGTGTTAAAAAATCAGCCCTCACCAAAAGTGAAAAAGCATGAAAGTTTAGGGATCATAATTAACCACAATTTAAAGAAATTCAGTTATCTTAGCCTCCAAACGGGCTCATAGTTTCAAGAGTTAGGCATTGACAAATTACATGAAAAATGTTCATCATATGATGATCATTGACATTGCATTGCAGAGAATCCCTATATGGTGGAGATGGTACTACTGGGCAAATCCGGTTGCTTGGAGTCTGTATGGACTTTTGACATCTCAGTATGGGGATGTAAATGACTATGTGAAACTGCCTGATGGCGTTACTTCTGTGCCAATCAAAGAGTTTCTCCGGCAGCAGTTTGGGTTCAGGCATGAGTTCCTTGGTGTCGCTATTTTTGCCGTGGCCGGTTTCTGCCTTATATTTGCAGTTACTTTCGGCTTCGCTATCAAATACTTCAACTTCCAAAGAAGATGAAGGCCGCTGTGGTGGCTAACATCTTTACACAGAATCACAAATGAGGTAAATCTGGATCGGCTTCTGCACTGCTAATGGTTCCAGTATTTCTATTCCTTTCCCAGAGTTGGAGTACGACTCTCAACCTTAAAATCTAAAGAATGAGGTTGGATAATAAGTTCATAAGAAATTGCTCTAAATAGGAGTAAAAGCGTTTTGGTATTTCAAAATAGAAGCAGTGTTTTTATTCCCTAAATAGGCATAATTACTCGTATGCTAGAAAACAGTATACTGCCATATTTAAAGATCCTGATAACACCAAAATATGACAGTAAATTTTCATGATGGCAGTAATGTATTCCTATTCAGGAAAAAACGTAGTACTTTTATTTTGGAATTTACATTGTTTTTACTCCTATTTTGGGAATTTTCACTAAGCTTATCTCTAATATTGGTGGGTATATATGAGTAGTTTTCAAATATGGGATACTGTAATAGTTGACTCTTCACAGTGTCTCTATGTATGTACAATTGGTACACTATGTCAGGGTCGATAAATGTTCAGCTACCTTTAAACATGAGAATTCAATAAACATAGAGCCCGTTTGGTAAGACACAATAGCGCATTAGGTGGCTCAAATTGTGGCTGAAAAGGGTGAAATTACCTGAATCATAAGATTATTCAAATTCCTTTCATTGATAAAATATATGAAAAAAGTGTCTAAAATGGTCGTCTTCATCTTAAGTAATTTCTCCCAAAGAAGTACACCTCCTTACTTTGTTTCACTATTAAACAGCTCAGCACATGCGATAAATAACCTGGCTATTTAATAACCTGGCTATTGAACAGCTCAGCACTTTGTTTCATTAACTTTGTTTCACTATGATAGGGACACGGCTGCTATTTTAAATGAACGAAATAGATTTGGGCAAGTGTATTGTAGAAGGCTTAAATAGGCTAGCCCGGTTATTAGTTATAGTTGTTAAATAACTAATAACTGCCTTCCGCTTAGGGGAGGATATAATTAGCAGTTCCCTGCAGAAGTTAGGTAGGAGTTAGAGGCTTGGTCTGGGATCTGGGAGTTGGAGTTCTATCTCCTTCTTTGGGCTTGTATACTGTCTTTCTTGTTGAATAAGATTACTGTGTTGATTTTCTTACTCTTGTGCTTGTGAATTACTCTGTGATTTGTATGTGAATGACTGGATTGGAGCTTGTGAGTTGACTGATAATGCTAGGTATCTATCACACTATATGACGAAAAGCATAGCTGCTAAACGGCTAGATATATTCTAATCAATTTGATCATATTCCTGACCAATGTTTATACATTTGCAGATGAATAGATGATTGATTCTTCAGTTTCGGTTATGACTTATGAAAGAGAGAAAGAACAACGACCAAACCTAGCATTGCTGCAGATTAATAATGGTAGCAGCATATATAGAAATAGGGTGCATGTGTTTCAGGGCTGGTATGTATAATGCAAGTCTGAATATTTCTTTAAAGTTTAAAAGTCAAGGAAAATGATTTACATCTTCACTACAGTTTGTATAGTATACAACAAGTTAATAAACATCACTATTTATTTACATATTGCATTATTCCCTTTTGGGATTATTATTTGAAAAAAAAAACACATGAATAAACAGAATAATCCAAACTATTTGTGGTCTTCCCATGGAATTTTATTTTCACGGGAAAATAATCCAAATAAACAAAAAGAAAAAGAAAAAAGGAGACGAAATCATGGATGAAGGAAGCAAGAAGCCTGGTGAAAGTGTTGGTGAAGATGAACAACCTGGCATCCAGCTTTTTTCTTTTTCTTTTTGATTTTTTTACCTGTTGTGCAAGTTGCAGGTAACCCAGATCATGTATACTTTGAATTAATATTAAAAGACGATTAATGGTTGGGATTATTCATGTGACCTTTTTCTTATTATTTTGACGATTACTATTAATGTGACGGAGCCAATTTTCTCCTATGCCCATAAGCCATATAGCATTTACGATCGATCTGTACTTGGACCACATCATGCTGGTTTAATGAAAACATTTCAAAAGCTACAAAGGGTATATTTGTCCAAACACACATTAATAGTCCTATTGAGGGGATTTAAAAAATGTAGTCCTATTTGTACAATTTTGTCACGTTTTAGTCCTATTTAGTGAATTGACTCAAAAATATACTCCCTTCGTCCCTCAATACTTTGCCATGTTTGACCGGCACAGGAATTAATAAAGTAAAAATTGTGTGGTTGAGATATGTGCAAAGGAGAGAAATAACAGGAACCACAGATTCATTGATTAAAAGGGAAAGTAACAAAGTTTTTGGGACATCTAAAAAAGGAAAGATGACAAAGTTATAAGGGACGAATAAAGTACTATGCAAACTATGGGAAAGCTTTTGGGCGGTGTCAATGGTAGCCACCAATCCGATATTAATATAATGCATCGTATGATTTACGAGTATATGGTAAGGTCATTTTTGTACTTTCATTCAAATATTATATCACAAATCATTTTTCCCCCACAAACCTGGAAAAGCGAAAACCCCATGGATCTCATGCCAGCTAGGAAAGTCGCGAACAAGAATTGAACTGCGGCCGTCAACCCTAGCGCCGCGCCGCGGCGGCGGTGGCGGCCGCCCTTCCCAGCCTGTCTTGGTGTCGCACCAGGTAGCAGTCTCAAAAGTCCCAATCCAGGCTTGCCGTCGTCCAACAACCTGCGCATCGGTGTTCTGCGGCCAACTGCTAGCCGAACGCAGGGAAGGAAGATGCCGTTTGCAGACCCTAGCCGGGCAGTCCAGCCTACGTCTCTGGCGCCGCCTGGGACCACAGGTTCTCCTACGGGCTGTTTTCCTGCAATGACTGATGATGCGCTTGTCTTTCCTCGGAAGAGAGCAAGGCCTGCTACAGGGTTGAATTTTGCTGATGGATTGCAAGACCTGCAACTGAACCACCATCCAGATTCCAATTCCAAGCTTTCTAGTTTGCAAAAACAGCAGCCACCTTCATTTAGTGCCGCTGTCACCAATCAATCCGGCTGGTTTGTGGCCACGGAAGAAGATATTTCCAAACTACCCATCCCAGTGCAGCCTACTACTAATGCACACTCCAACTCGAGATGCCCACAGATTGTTTTCTCGGTGGAGGAAATTCGGGAGCTATACAAACCATGGTCCAAGGCACTGGTAGTGAAGGTTCTTGAAAGAAACTTCTCTTTCCTTGCGGTGAAGAAGCGGCTCGAAGCTCTTTGGGGAAAGCAAGGAGAAATTCAGGTTTCTGATATGACCAATTGGTGTTATGCTGTCCGCTTTGCATCAAAAGATGACTATCTTAGGGCAGCCTTTGGAGGACCCTGGAAGATCTTTGACTATTACTTTGCTATTTCGGCATGGACGCCAGAGTTTAATGTTCATGCACCTGTACAAAAGATCTTATCATGGATTAACCTTCCATCATTACCTCTCCATTACTTCCATGAGATGGCTGTTACACGTATTACAGGTCATGTTGGAAAAGTTATTCAAATTGATGTTGCTATTACATCAGGCGAGCGGGCACGCTTTGCACGTGCATGTGTGGAGGTTGACCTTTCCAAACCTCTCCTCGGTACGTATGAACTCGATGGAATTAAACATAAAATTGGTTATGAGAGACTCGAAAACTTGTGTGTGAAGTGTGGTAGGTACGGTCATACTGAAAATTCATGTGCGGAAGCCACACTGCAAATGGAAACAGAGACCACTTCACTTCTGTCTAATATTCCGGAGCAACCTATTGATGACTTGGGGGAGTGGATGATCCCTGGTCGTCGCGATCGACGCAAAACAGGCCGGAAAAATGCCACTAGTGCAACGGCTGAGACTCCTAACACTACTATGGGCTCTAGATTTGATGTGCTTCTCAGGCATCCTACTGATAATACTCTTTCTCCGACCATTGTTGGAGACACTATACCGCAGGCGTCAGGTCAGACGCCTAAGGCTAAAAAGAAGAGTGAACCTGCTAAGTCCCGGAAGCAACTTGGAATGCAGGCTAAACCTGGACTACCGCCTTCACCTCCTGTGGACACACAACATCCACTTCCGCATAATGTGAAGCCTACCTCTAAACCTGATCCAATTTCATCTTATGTACCTACTCCTATGCTGAATCCTGCTCGTAGAAAGGGCCGCCCACAGAAGAATGCTCAGAAGTCAGGGAAGAAGGATGACTTTTCTGGTACGTTAGCAGAAGCATGGCAGAAGACATTTCCTGCCAATACATCAGTGCCCAAACCTCCTCAACCAGATAGTTCGGTGCCTCTCTCCATACTCAAACGGGGGTCCCTTGTTGATGGTATGTTTGGTAAGTCTACTGCTTCTACTGCCACTACTTCAACAACCATGGATGCTCACACGCATACCTCAAACACAATGACTCCAGACATGTCCTCGACACCGTCACAAGTATGTACTGAATCATCTACTTCTGGTTCGATGTCTGTAACCCCTGGGAATGCTCAGGGGGAGCGCCCCATGGATACCTCCTCTTAACCAGGGAAGACCTTACTTTTTATCTTTATGATGTGTGCAATATTTACTTGGAATTGTCGTGGGGCAAAGCATGATGAATTTCTTCCCAGTTTTAGAAATTATATGTCTCGTTATCGACCACAGATTGCTGTTATCTTTGAACCCCGTGGCAGCGGAGTCATTGGCCAGCGTATTATTAATCCACTTGGTTTTGATGGCAGAATTATCTCTGAAGCTCGTGGTTTTTCTGGGGGTATCTGGGTTCTTTGGAACTCATCACTAATTACGGTGAACGAGAGGGTAATCACTGACCAAACTGTTCATGTGTGTGTGACGGCTCATGAGGGTGGTCAATTCGCCTTCACAGCTGTTTACGCTTGTCCACAACCTTTGGGACTCACTTTTCTCTTGGAAACCCTCCGGGTGATTGCACGAACAGAAACATTACCATGGGTAGCAATGGGGGATTTTAACGTCGTCCTTTCAGCAGAGGAGAAGATTGGGGGTGCGGAGTTTGACCCGACTCGTGCGACACCCTTTCGGACCTGCATTGACTTGTGTCGCCTCATTGACTTGGGTTTCACCGGCCCCGGATTCACCTGGTATCGTGGATCCCTTTGTGAACGGTTGGATCGGGCGTTGGGTTCTCAGAACTGGCTCAATCACTTCCCGCACTTGGTGCAACACCTTCCTCGTGTGCGGTCTGATCATCGCCCTATCCTGCTATCCACTTCTGGTATAACCCCGCCTCACACGGGTAAACGTCCGTTTCGCTTTCTTGCTCCTTGGCTATCACATAATGATTTTCCACGGATCCTTGCATCCTCTTGGCGGCGAGACATACCGCTACATAATGCACTTCATTCTTTGGGTGGGAAGCTTCAACGATGGAATAGGGATGTGTTTGGATTGATTCATATCAGGAAAGTGACATTGATTCAGCAATTGTCCGAGTTAGAGGACTTTAATTCAGGTGGTGGGTTGGCCCTCTCCCGCCGTCGTGAAGAAGATACTCGGCATGAGCTGGAAACCACACTTTGGCAAGAGTCACTTCTATGGAAGCAAAAATCCACTTCTCAGTGGATTGTGGACGGTGATCGCAACACTCGTTTCTTTCACCTCCTTACTCTCAAATGTAGGCGTAATAACAAAGTTCTTGCTTTGAAAGATGAAACAGGGAATTGGGTGGAAGACAAACAAGCTCTTCTCTGCATGGCTCGTGACTATTTTATTAATCTTTTCCTGGACGTTGGGACCGTAGGCACTCATCTTCCTAATGGCTTCACCCCCATCTCGGCCGACGCACAACGACGCCTCCTACGCCTTCCATCTCCGGATGAAGTCAAGCAAGCTGTCATGGATATGGGGAGTTTGAAAGCCCCGGGAAAGGATGGCTTCCAACCAATCTTCTTCCAGAAATGCTGGGATCAGGTTGGTGAATCAATGGTTATGTTTGTTATTGATTGCTTTAAAAATCCTTCTCATGTGGCAATGGTCAATGACACCCTTTTGGTGGTGATCCCTAAAGTGCCACGACCGGAGTCAATGAAGCAATTTCGGCCAATTAGTCTTTGTAATGTTGCTTATAAAGTTGTTACTAAGCTTCTCACTTCTTGATTGAAGCATCACATGCGGGGTTGGGTCTACCCCACACAATCCAGCTTTGTCCCTGGGCGACACATCACTGACAACATCATCATTATCCAAGAAGTCGTCCACTCCATGGAAAATGACCGGGGAAGAACTCGACGCATGGCTCTCAAAATTGATCTCGCTAAGGCCTATGACTGCATTCGTTGGGATGTTTTTGGCTGAAACTCTTTCCTCCACAGGTATTCCGGTAGATATTATCTCTCTTATCATGGCTTGTGTCTCTACAAATCGATTTCAGGTCCTATGGAATGGTGAAATGACTGAGGAATTCCGACCGTCTAGAGGTCTGAGACAAGGGTGCCCGTTGTCCCCTTTTTTATTCACCCTTTGCATCGAACGGCTTAGCCACCTCATTAATGCTGCAGTGGCGAATGGTGAGTGGCGGCCAATCATGCTAGCCCGAGATGGACCGACTCTCTCCCATATTTTCTTTGCAGATGATCTTATACTATTTGGTGAGGGGTCAGAGGCGCAGGCTCGAGTCATTAACCGCTGTCTGGATGATTTTTGTTCCGCGTCTGGTCAATCTGTTATCAAGGAAAAGTCAGTGTTTTTTTCTCTAAGACTGTCCCCAGGCTTGATGCGGTTCGCATTGCTTCCTTTCTTGGCATGCCGACTACACACAACTTGGGCAGATATTTAGGGGTTCCTGTACTCCATGGAAGGGTGACTAATGGTACGTACTAGACCATTTTGGATCGCATGGACCAGAAACTCGCTGGTTGGAAAGCTTCGACGCTTGCTCTTGCAGGACGGGTTACCCTTACCCAATCTGTGTTATCTGCGATTCCTGCTTATGTTATGCAAACCTCG